ACTGAAGTACGCAGTACAAACCACTACTTCCAGATTCTCTACTAATTTATGTAGCAATACAGTGGTTTTACTGTGCTACAAAGGTTTCTGGTCTTACAGAAACATTAATGGTTTAATTACAGAATACAAAGGCATTTAATATTTTCCTATCGTCATTCCTCCGTAAGTATTAAATTCGTATTTCTTTGTATTGTCTTGTGTTAGAATGTTTGATTTTTAACATTTCTATTTGAGTCACTGACACACATCATTTAAAAAAGTTGAATGAGAGAAATCGACCATGAGTCATTTGGTGCTCTTAGGCCCAGATGGGCACACAGAAGACAGCCACAGCTCTACCCCAGGCCTCTTGGCATGGGTGGCCAGAAACCAACCACAGGCCTGCCTATTGCCTTGAGATGGTCGGGAGCATGTTGGTAAGAGAACAGAGGGTGGGGAAACGAGAGGGAGAGACAGAGCAATTCACATGCAGAAGAGAGAGGCAGCTCTGAAGAGGTGAGGACCTGGCTGACATAGATGGCCTGCTTGTCACCCGGGGCCATGGTAATGTCTGGGCCTGGGCTGCTGCTGCCAAGTGCCATGTCTTGGTCCATGCCCCTGATGTGACAGTGGGGGTCTTGTTGATGTCTGTGGCTCCTGTTACTACCATGTGGACACTCGTAGTCTCGGCCACCGTCAGTGGCCATGTTGGTGTCAGGGATATGCCAATCTAAGAGGTCTGCTGTGCCACCTGGGACCATGGTGACATCTGGGGAGGACTGCTGTCAGGTGCCATGTCAGGGTCCATGGCCCTGCTATTGCCTGGCTCAGAGTTGATGTCCATGGCTCCTGTTGCCATTGAGGGTCATGCAGAAGCCCACAATCTGGGTCAACACCTGAGGCCATGTTGGTCCTTGATTGTCAAGCTGAGTCTGGGGCCATGGTGACATCCAGACCCAAACTGCAGCTGAGCGTCATGTCTGGGTCTGTGGCCCTACTGTACCAGGTTCTGTGTTGATATCCCTGACTCCTGTCACCACCGAAAGCACTGAGGATAGAGCTGCACCGAGTTGGTCCCACCCCTCACTATCTGCAGCACTTGGGAGAGTGGGCCCTGCATCTCATCTGGGGGTGGGGGGTTGTGCTAGGGAGCTGGCCCTGAAAGTGTGAGAGTAGGAGAGTTAGCCCCGTGTCTGTCATATGATGAGGTGAGGGAGAGATACACCCTTTGCCCTTTGCCACCTACTGCAGGCAGGGAAAGTTGGTCCCTGGATCATAAGAGCGGGAAAGCTGACCCTGCCACTCACCAGCTGCAGCACTGGGAGACCCTGTCCTGCAACTTGCCTAGAATGAACAGTAGAGTTGTCCCTGTTGGTGGGGGTGCAGATGAGCCAGGTCTGTGGGCATGAGAGCAGGAGAGCTGCACCCACCCCCCTCCCTCATATGCCATGTGGTGGGATGGGTAAGGGAAATATGCCCTCCCCCCCCCCCAACCTCTTGCCATGCCCCTCACCAACTGCAGCAATCAGGATAGCAGGCCCTGCACCTTTTCTGGGCAAAGCAGTAAATCTGACCCTGATGTGATATATTATTTATGATTTATTAAAGCTTGCCTGAAGATTCAGAAAGCAAAGTCAGCCACAGGCCATAGAAGCCAGGCACACACCTTTAATCCCAGCAGCCAGAAGCTAGGAGGTGGTGCCACACACTTAATCCTAGGACTCAAGATTAAGAGGTAGACCGATCTCTCTGAGTTTAAGGCCACCCAGGGATACGAGATTGAATCAGGCTAAAACGTAACAGATCACATGCCTTTAATTCCAGCACTGGAGAGGTATAAAAGATAGAAGCAGGGTCTTCAGTATTCAGGAGAGGAGAGGCTACAGTCTTAAGCTTAAGGAGAGTTCTTGGAGACAGGAACAGCCCATTCTCCCTACATTCCCAACATACACATGCTGTTTGTACTAAATACTTAGGTTCTGTGTCCTCAGCACCGACAGTTATAAGTCAGACATGAATCAACTCTGAAAAGTGTTGAAGATGTGTGCAGTAGGTTGAATGAGAATGCTCGTTTCTCAGTTGGTGAAACTATTTGGGAAGGATTAGGAGGTGTGGCCTTGTTGAAGGGGGTGTGTCTCTTGGGGTGGACTTGAGGCTTTACAAGTCCAATGCTGTTTCCAGTTATCTCTAGCTCTCTGCCTTGATTGTTGTCTCAACATGGAAGGTCTCAGCTACTGCTCCTGGACCATGCCTCCCTGCCTGCTGCAGTGCCCCCGCCATGATGGTCATGGACTAGCCCTCCGCAATTATAAGCTAGTCCCCCCTCCCCAGCCAGTGCTTCTTTTATAAGTTGCCTTGGTCATGGTGTCTCTTCACACCAGTAGAAAAGAAATAGGACAATGCTGTATGTCCTAAGTATCAGATATTCAGCCAATAGTTCTTGTAAAAATAGACAAGCACACCTACACCATTCATATGTGAATATGCTTTCAAAATCTTTGCTAAATGGTCAAAAGATATGTATCCAAAGAATTGTTTTAAAATAAACTTGTATATTGTGTACTATTAGTAAATGTCTGATTTGTATACCTTTTGTTTTTGTTTCTTATCTGCATAGCCAGAGTCAAATAAATTTTTATTGGGTGAAAAGGGTCCATATATAGAAACAGCTGAGGAAGTCTAGTCTATTAGTGATGTGCCAAGTTTCTAGCTCTGTGATGTTAGTCTTGATTATAACTTGATAAGATTTAGAATTGTCATGGAAACATCTTTTGGCATGCCTACTAGGGGTCATTCTAGATTAAGCTAATTGAGGCGAGAAAATCCACCCAAAATGTTGATGGCCCCATTCCACAGGCTGGAGTCCCCAGATGAATAAAAGGGAGAACGTGGGCAGAACCCACGCGTTTGTCCCTACTTCCTGAGAGCAGATGCTGTTTGACAAGCTGCCTCGTGCACTTGCTGCCATTACTTCCTCATTGTCACCGACCGTAGCCTTGAAGTGTGTGCTAAAGTAAATGCTTCCTTTCGCCAAGTTTTTTTGGCCTCGGCAACAAGAAAAAATAAGTCATACAAGTCATTTATTGGAAAGTACCGTTCCCCCTCTGAAGAACAAGCTGGTCACAACGGGTAAGTTGGCTAGCAGAAAATGGATTTCGTTGTGTTTGGTGTGTTCATTTGCTTGCTTCAGGGTCTTAGTGGTGTTGCCCTCACTGTACTCAAACTGCTGATCATCTGGTGTCAGCCTTCCTAGCGCTGGAATTGCAACCATTGGGCACCACACCCAAATGAAAAGAGGGGTTTAATACAAAACAGTATTTAAAAGATGAAAAGGAGTCTGTGTCTAGAAGTGTTTGCTGATGCTTAGGGTTTCTAACCATTCATAGGTATTTGTGAGTTCCGCATTTAAACTTGATATGTCGTGTTTTGTTGATATCCATGGGAAACCTGCTCTTTCCTGAACAGATACTTAGGAGGAGTGGACTGGGGCAGGGGACAGAGGGAGGAGGGGGAGGGGCTGGAAGGAGAGGAGGGAGGGGAAACTGTGGTGGGAATGTAAAACAAATAAATACATAAATAAGTAAATAAAAAAGTTCCCCCATTATCATGGGTCATTTTAATGCCTTTGGTCATTTGATCTTACATATCAGCTAGATGTTAAAATGACATCAGCTGTCTTTTATCAAGTAAATACATCTAGCCAAAATGGTTTTCATTTTAATTGGTAAGAGGAAAATAATAAATTACCTCAACTCTATTGTAAGCATAAAACCCACTTTGTAATATGGTATTGCAGCTGCTAAATTGTTGTTTAAACATTAACCCCCACACTGTGCCTAATGCCTTTAATTATGCTTCACGCCGTTGTTTCTTCATCAACCCTTCAGATGGAGAACTCTACATACTCAGTGTAAGCCACCATGGGAACATATTATTAGGCTGTCTCTGTGACAAAGGTATCCTTGGATTGTGCTGTAAAACTCACTTGCAAATAAATTCCATTAAACACTGGCTTTCTCTTGTAGCTTCTTAATCATAGCTGCTCGTCTAGATTAAGTACACATACCCAAACTTAAGCTTTTGTAATTGCAGCCAGAGAGTGGCTATAGTGACTGATCTAAAAGCAAAAATGCATTTAATATTGAACCATCAGAAATATTTCTTCAACTCTTTTCCAGACTATACTTGCTCTTAGAACCACACCCTTTAAATGAGGACACCAAACTATCAACAATGAGGTAAAACTTAAAACTAATAGTATCTTCATTGTTTAAAGGAAGTAGACTGAAGAGAAGAATTGAGCTCAAAGAATGGGTGGTTGAGTATGAGGAAATATGATCAAAGAAATGCAGGACTTTAGAATGTTCTGGAAATTGCAGGCATAGGGCGCTTTAGCGAAACCAGTATACTGAGACATGGTGTCTTTCCTGCAGCTTTTGGAGAATCACGTGGTGGAGCAGGGCCAGCAGGACTTGATGTACAGGGCCTCAAGTGATACGTGATAAGCTTGACCTTGCATGAGAATAGTCGTGTGTGTGTGTGTGTGTGTGTGTGTGTGTGTGTGTGTGTGTGTGTGTGTGTGTGTGTGCATTGTCATGTGTGGTCGAGCAAGCCTATAGTCCTAGGCAGGAGATTGTAAATTCAAGGCTGGTCTGGGTTACATAGTGAGATCTTATTTCAACATTAAAAAAGAGATTATTTTTATTCATCCATTCATTCCTGTGTATGTGTGTATCAGTGTGTGGGTATAGGAACACTTGTGTTTGGGGATGCCACGACTGTGTCTACCTCTAACTCTGCCTGTAGGAGGAAAACATTGCCGCCATTAACCATGTGACTTACAGATGAGGTAATAAAAGAGCGGTTTACCACACCGCTAACCACACCCACTTTAAGCATGACTAAAGATGAATACGGACATAGGCGGTGAACTACGTCACTAGCCATGCCCATGGCTATGGGCGTTACGGGGGAAGGTATAAAAGACTTAACAACGGAAGTCTCGGTCTCTTTTTCCGGCTTTCAGCTTCCATTTCGGCAGCAGAAAACTACTTGGCTCATCTGGGTTACTTGTTTGGTCTCTTGTGAGTAATTTCTACAATAAATACTTACTCTTTCAGTAAGTGCACCGGTTATCGTTGCGGCATCATCCACCTGTTCTTTTTGAGGTGAGTTCTCTCTCAGACTCTGCCCCACCCCCACCCCCAGCTTCAGTTACAGGCATATATGTGTGTGTGGTTCCCAGCTTATTACATGGTGCTGGGTTCAGAGCTTTGCGTCTGATGATCACACAGCGAGTATTCTTACCATGAGTCATCTCTCTAGATTCTCAAAAGTTTTTATGTTTAAAAATGTGCACACCAGCCGGGCGGTGGTGGCACACGCCTTTAATCCCAGCACTCGAGAGGCAGAGGCAGGCGGATCTCTGTGAGTTCGAGGCCGGGCTGGACCGATAGCCTCCGAAACAATACAGAGAAACCCTGTCTTGTAAAAACCAAAAAAAAAAAAAAAAAAAAAAAAAAATGTGCACACCTTTGGCGTAAAATCGAGAAGATACAAAAAGGCTTTCACGAAACGTAATTCTCCCTCTTATAAGTGTCCACTTCTTTTTTTTTTTTTTTTGGTTTTCATTTTTATGTGAAAGAAAAGGTCTAAGAATCCCAGAAACCCAGCCTGACTGAAAATCTATTGTGATTTGGGATTTTGGGTTGATTAAGTGTTATAAAATTGAAAAAAATAGAAATCTTAGGAATAGTCCATGCATATTTGGACACCTGAGCTATGACAAAATGGTATTGCTGAGGTATGTAGAAAGAGAATGAACCCTGTCACATGCTATGTAAAATCAATTTTTAAGGCAAAGATTTAAAACCAAGGGGAGAAAAGGGTATTTTGTGACCACAGGAAAGAGGGATCCCTTATTAGATTACAAAAGACACTGGTTATGAAAGGAGAGATTATGTCCAGTGAAGATGCCTCTTTGGTAAAAGAGAACATACAAAATGAGCAGACAGGACACAGCCAGTATGGTACCAGGTATCTGGAATAATTCAAGAACTCTTGTAAAGCAACAGAGGGAAAATGTATTTCAGCTGAAAACCAGCTAATAGCAGCGAAAAGCATTTGATAGAGGAAAAAAATGTCAACAGATAGTAAGCGTAAGAAAAGCTCAAAAGAAAGCCAGTGATATGCCCTTTCATACCCACTAGATGCTAAAAGTCAGAAGTCTAAGCAAGGGTTGAAAGATATGTGACTTGCTGGGAATGCAGAAAAAAAAAAAAAAACATTGGTGCAATGCTACAATAAGGTCCCTAACCACTGCTCCCGGAACACCTGGAGGTGTATATACATGTCACTTGAAGATACCCATAATGTTTAGGGCAGCACTGTTGAAAATATCAAAGACCTGCAGACAACTCAGCTGTCTGCTGCTGCTGCGGTTTGAACACACGTGCTGTCCTCTTGTTTGGCTGTAGTTTCCATGCCCCACAAGGGCCCACTGTGGTAGATAGTCTGGTCCACAGATGGTGCTGTGAGGTGGTAGAACCTTAGGAGGCGGGGCCTTGTGGAGGTTCATGGTCACTGGGGATGACTGTGCTTCAGAACATAGTTCTTGTGAGGCTTGGAAGTTCTCCAGCACTCTGTGCCTGCGATGAGATGCACACGCTTGCTCACTCCTGCCACTGCTGTCTCCTGGGATAGCATGCTGACAAGAAGTGAGCCCATGCAGGTGCCATGCCGTTGAATTTCCAAAACCGCGAGCTTAGTAAACATTGTCTGCTTCTCAAGTATTTCACTGTGGTGACCAAAACCGGACTAATGCTAACGGATGCTCCAAAATTCATGATGACATCCTAACTCAAAGAGTGATAGTATTAAGACACAGGGCTTCTGGGAGATGGGGACTCCATAGACTTAACGCCTTTGTGGAGAGATCCCAGAAAGCTAGCTGCTGCCTCCCACCATTTGAAGTTACAGCGATGATTAACTGTCTGCAATACAGTAATGCACCTTCAGCCGAAAGCTTTATCTTAGACTTTTCAGCCTCTAATTTATAGGATTTGCATCCTATATAGTGTCTTTTTTTGTTTGTTTGTTTGTTTGTTTTGCATCTTAAACAGACTAAGACATCTGATGACAGAAGAGTGGATAAAGTCACTGTAAGAGTCACACAGAAAACTATACACCAGTGCCTGATGCCTCCGAAACTGGAGTTATAAACAGTTGTGAGCCATGTGAATGCTGGGGATTGAACCCAGGTCCTCTGCAAGAGCAGCCAGTGGTCTTCATCACTGAATCATTTCTTCATCCCCAACAAGTGCTACTTTTAAAGAATGGATGAGTCTCAAAAAGCAAAACAAAACAAAAAACTGCATGTTAAACAATTTTCAATAAAGCATTTCATAAAATTTAATTTCAACTTAGTTCTAAGTTAGCCATATGTAATATGTGTGATAAAACGTTTAAAACATAGGATTAAAAAAAATAAAATCATGCCAGGCATTGGTGGCGCACACCTTTAATCCCAGCATTCAGGAGGCAGAGGCAGGCAGATCTCTATGAGTTTGAGACCAGCCTGGTCTATAGAGTGAGTGCCAGGATAGGCTCCAAAATTACACAGAGATACCCTGCCTCGAAAAACAAACAAACAAATAAATAAAAAACAAATTCATGTAAAATTGCAGCAGAAGCATGCTGACCCACAGGATCAGATACAAGTTATTTTGGGTGTGTGAAACAGAAGCATCAGAATGTCTTGGCCTCCAGATTCCCATGCATACCTGTGCACACACAGCCTGTGCACAGACACACCCATATACACACATACTCACAAGAGAGTGAGACAACACAAAGGATCTGGACTGCAGTAATAAGAAAGTATGTGGAATGCTACAATTTGCATTAAAACATGGGACACAAGTATTTATCTTTTAAAGGTTACCAAGAATTGGCACTCATAAGTTCTTGCCTCTTGACATGACTTATAAAAACTAATTTTTTTTAAGAATGAAAACCGTATGTAGGAAATGAGATGTTAATGATGGCATGAGAGAGTGGGATTCAGTATCAAGGCTAGTGAAACCCATCACAGGGATGTAACTGAGAGAGCAAGGACCTGGAAGGGGATGGCAGCTGGGGACGTATGAACACATGCCTACTTGTGCCAGATAGGAACCAGTGACAGGCGAGTCCAACGTGGTGCATTAGTGAGTTTATTACTTATAGGACTGTTGGTGGGGGGTTAGTTACAAGAGTATAAGTGAATCAAAGGTAAATGTGTCACTGAAAGTCCCCCAAGCATAGGTGAATGACCCTTTCACAGGGCTCACCTAAGACCATCAGAAAACATAGATGTTAACATTGTAATTCATAACAGTAGCAAAATTGCAGTCATGAAGGAGCAACAAAAATAATGTTATGGTTAGGGTCACCACAACGCGAGGATCTGTATTAAAGGGTCACAACGTGTGGAAGGTTCAGAACCACTGCCATCATAACTGCATGCCTGAAGCCCTGTGCACAACTTGCAGGCAGCTGCAGACTCCTTACCAACAGTTGTTTGCTCTTTGTATGACTTTGGGAAGTGGTTTTTATGAATGTTTTAAGTTTCAGGAGCCATCTGAGACATGTTGAGTTTTGTTTACTTCCTGAATCTTGGAGCCTTCATGGGCCTCTCTCCAGGACAGAATATTTCATTTTGGAGGACAATGCTACCCAACATTCTATTCTTGTATTTGACTCTTGTATTATTTCTTCCCCCCTCTTCTACAGTGTTTCCTGAGCTTTGAAGACTATGCCTACGCCTATACCATAGTATAGATGTCAGACTATTTTCCTCAGTATATGACTGAGAACTATACCACACTAACAGTCAATCTCAGGAGACTGACTAGTTATGAGTCTCTGCAGTATACCTCCCATTGCAAAACAGAATTTTCCTTCCATGCCTGATTGATACTAATGGCAACAACAATCTATAGGTATAAGCATGAATGTTTAGAAAGCAGAGTGAAAATTATATCACATCAATTCAAGTACCAGTTGCTTTCCAAGTGGTCTTATGACCACCTTATAATCATGAGCTTTTTCTGTTGCTTAAAATATCAGATGTGAGTTCTTTCTTGTGTAGCAAGCCTTAAATCCAATTGTGAAATTGTTGCTTGTACCCATAACAAGCCACTACTACACCTGTGGACACATCTTGCCTAACACGTTGGTATTATAGCACACACAGTCTATAACTGTGGTGGTTTGAAGAGAAACACGTGTTCAAATGCTTGGTCCACAGGGAGTGGCACCATTAGGAGGTGTGGCCTTGTTGAAGTGCGTGTGATCTTGTTGGAGGAAGTGTGCCACTGTAGAAATGGGCTTTGAGGTGTTATGTGCTCAAGCTAATCCTAGTGTGTCATACAGTCTCCTTCTACTGCCTGCAGATCAAGAGATAGCACTCTCAGATCCTTCTCCAACACTATCTGCCTGCATGCCATCATGCTTCCAGTCATGACAACAAAGGACTAAACCTCTGAAACTGTAAGCCAGCTCCAACTAAATGTTTCCTTTATAAGAGCTGCTGTGGTCATGGCATCTCTTCATGGCAATAGAATACTAAGACAGAAGTTGCTATCAGGAACTGGGGGTATTGCTGCGATAGGCCTGAACATGTTTTTGTTTGGAGGAATATGGACTTTGGGTTAGAAAAGCAGTTGAATACTTTAAGTGGGGCTTAATGGGCTATTCTAGTAGGAACATGGAAGACAGTGGTGCTGAGGGTGATTTGAAGTGTGTGGACCCAGCTCAAGAGGTTTCAGAGGAGATTAATGTTAGTAGGTGATCTAGAGGCTGGCCTGTGATATTTTGGTGAAAAACAGGGCTGCTTTTTGCCCTTGTCTGAAAAGTCTGCCAGTGCTAAAGAGTTTGGATTCATTCTGTTGGCAGAGGAAATCTCAAACAGCCCAGTATTGACTTGTTGTGTAGTTATTACTGTTCACTCTTATAAAGATCTATAAAGAATAGGAACAAACCCGGGCAGGTGATGAAAATACAAAATGTACAGATTGAGGAGAAAAGGGGTACCCAGAAGTGGAATGGAGATAAGTCCGTGTTCAAGGAGATAAACAGATTAATAAATGGAATAAAGAGTATGTTGACCTCAGGACAAGGCCCCACCCAGCTAAGCTTCCTACTTGTGAAAAGGAATTAAAGAAAAGTTTAGTGCCACGTGTGATGGTACACAGAAGGCAGATGCTGGAGGATCTCTGAGTTTGAGGCCAGGCTGGTCTACTGAGCAAGTTCCAGGACATCCAAGCTTAGTCAGTGAAGGAAACCACTGAAGACAGAAAGCTGGTAAAGATGTAATGGAGAGATCTCTGATTTCAAGGCCAGAGAAAGTTCCAGGATAGCTAAGCTTAGCCAGTGAAGGAAATCATCAAAAAACAGGAAGCTGGTGGAGATGTAATTGAACAAGGGCCATGTTCCAGCCTCAGCAAAGTAGCAGAACTTGGCAGCTTGGCCACATGCTTCTGGCTTTAGAATCAGACAGATGAACCAGGTTGTGGAATCTCCTTCTGAGACTAAGGAAAGTCACTGGGGCAAGCCTCCATTAATTTTTTTTCATTTGTACGAGTTGCTGTGATCATGATGTCTTTTCACAGCAATAAAACCCTAACTAAGACAATAACTAAGCAAGACTATTGATGAAAATGTTCCCCCAGCAGTCCTCCTGGTACCTTCGAGCACTGTGAAATCCTGCCATCAGGAAGAAGCTTCTCATTCAGTCCTAGCTTGGTTTCTCCAAATCCTGTAACCAAAGCGTGAGATGTTGTGGTGGTTTGAATAAAAATGGCTTCTATGGGCTCTTGTATTTAAATGCTCGATCATTAGGGAGTGGTGCTATTTGACACAGATTAGGAGGTGTGGCCTTGTTGGAGGAAGTGTGTCATTGGGAGTGGGCTTTCAAATGCTTTAAGCCAGGTCCAGTGTCTCTCTTTCTCCTGTCTGTCCATCCGATGTAGAACTCTCAGCTACCTCTCCAGCACCATGTCTGCCTGTGTGCTGCATGAGGATAATGGAGCAAATCCCTGTAAGCCAGCCTCAAATAAATGTTTTCCTTTATAAGAGTTGCTGTGGTTACAGCAATGTAACTGACCAAGACAGATTGTATCTGTAACAGGAACTTGTAATGCTGTTCTTGCATGTAACCAATAGCAGTAACAATGGTTTGTAGGGCCAGGGGAACCTCCTTGGCCAACAACTTCAAAGTGAACATTTGTTGTCTATCTGGAATGAGTAGACATTTGTCTCCCCAGGAAGAGTTGTACATCATGACTGGTACCCAAACAGGGACCAGTAGAACCCAAGATAGCTTGGGGAGGAGTGGATGCATGGCCCCTACAGTGAGTGCCAAGACATGCACCCAAACACCCTGCCTAATTGCTGTTGTCAAAATCCAGCAGTCTAAAAGATCACATAAAAGTCTATTTTAGACCTGTCAAATGTATATATTTTATTATTAATGGCCTGTTAGAGTCAAGGTGTGACTATGATTTCTGACATCATAAATGGTCTTCAGATCTTGTGGACTCTCCTTTTATATTAATGTCAAAGGGAGTGAATCTTCCTTGATTTGCTCAATAAGCTACTCTCAATCATCATAACAAGGTTTAATGGATGCATTTTTGGTGAGATTTGAAAAATGTTCGCCTCTTCATGTGCCCTAAGGATCCATGTCACAGCCCCTCTTCTAATCGGGCACCTAATTTAAGTGAGGGAACTTTTAAGCAGAAAAGGGTGTCAGGGTTTATTCTCTTGACATCTATAATTAAATTTAATGAAGCTTCTATTTTAGTCCATTTGGGATAATAGAGCTAAGTATCCCAGACTGGGTAATTTGTAAATAATAGCAGTTTATTTCTCATGTGGCTGGAGCTTAGAGTATAATATCAAATTACCAGCAGATTTGGTGCCTGGTAAAGATGTCTTTTATTTAAAGTCGGTACCTTATTGTCTTCATGTAGTAGAAGAGAAGGGCTATTAATATATTATTACTTCTATAAAATAATGAGTCGTTAATATTATTACTCATGTTTATAATATACCTTGATAACATTCACTCCACCCCTTTAATCCCCTATTCCATTCCTAAAAATTCCCTTTCTGTTTTCATGTCTTTTAAACAGTGTGTATAAATTATTTTTCATAATATTTACAATGAAATATAAAAAACCTTCCAGTCATCCCTAATACTACCCCTGCTAAGTTCAACACACACACACACACACACACACACACACACACACACACACACACACGATGTGGCTGTTACTCTCATGAACTCAGTAGCTGTGGCTACTTGTACAAGATCCCATCTTTGAGGATGTGGGCCCGGGTAGGGGTCCCATGCTCCGGTGGATGCCCCACACCCTTGTACATATGGACAGTGTTAATTGGATTCAGTGGGTCATCAAAACTATTTTAATTGAGTTTTTGAGACAGGGTCTCATATGGCCCCATTTCACCTCAAACTTGCTATGTCGCTGAAGACGACCTTCAAATGGGCCTCTTGCCTTCTTCTCCCGAGATCCGGGGTCACAGGCTTGCACCTGGTTTTTATGAAGTGGAGGGGATTGGTTACCCAGGGCTTTGTGCCTGATACGCAAGCATATACCCTGGCCTTACATCCCCAGGCCTTCCTTGTCTTTATTATTATTTTAATCCAGTGTCTGGATATGAAAGAAAACATGGTATTTGTTTTTCTGAATCTGACTTTTCTTAATGTGTTGACTCCCAGTTCCATTTCCCTTAAAATGACATGATTTTGCTCTTTATAGCTAAATAGTGCTCAATTATGATATATATCACACTCTAGCCATTCATCTGTTGATGGTCACGTAGACTCATTCCATAGTTGGCTAATATGAATCATGGCAGGCTTCTGTTTTTAGAGGTGTGTGTGTGTGTGTGTGTGTGTGTGTGTGTGTGTGTGTGTGTGTGTGTGTGTGTGTGTTTATGTGTACCATCTGCATGCAGCTGCCTGAGGAGGCCAGAGAGCATTGGATCCCCTGGAACTGAAGTTACTGGCTATTGTGTGTTTCTAGGTGTTGGTTCTGGGGACTGAATTCCAATCCTCTGGAAAAGCAATGTGTGCCCCTAACTGCTGAGTCATCTCTCCAGCCCCCAGGACACTTTTATAATGGCATCAATCCAACTCTTGATAGCAGAGGTCTGTTATCCTAATCGTCTGATTAAGAGTCCATCTTAACCTGAGCATAGACACACTCCAGGCACAGCATATTATAAACTTTGCCTCTTTCCAGTTACTGTTTGTTATGATATGGATTTTCACATTGTAGGACTGTTCATTTTTCTTAATTTGTCCTATCAGTGTTAGCACACACACCTTTCTGCTAACTTTTATTAAAAACAGAAAAGCAGCTGGCATTTGTCACACCTCTCCTCATTTCTTGTACACCTCACCATCATGGCTGTCCTCACAGTTCGTGTTTAGCCAGTGCGAGCCTGGAGCTAGCTGTATTCAGATATTGATTGTGATGTTTTGTGTGGCGGCCTCCTGTCGTCTCCTTGGGGCCCTCAGGTAGAGTTGTCACTGGAGATAAACAGATGCTTTTTTGGAGATCTTTGCACATCTGTTGCACAACTTCACCCCATTTGTGTCACCCAGACACCCACCTAAAGGTTTCTCTCTCACACCACTGGGGTTTCTTGAATTCCTGCTCTTTCCTGTGGCTCAGATTGTTTCGTTTTTTTTTCCAGCAGAAGACCTGAGGAAGGATCTAAATGCTTCCTTTGATCGAATAAAGTTTATTTTGGGAACTGGAATTGGAGGTCTTCCCTCCCTGTTTACTCGATGTTTCCTTGCGGAAGAACGTGTGGGACCTTAGGTGGGTCACATGCTTCTGCACCAACCAGCGTTTCTCTCTCTGACAAGAAAACGTGTCCTGACCTTGTGCTTCAAATGCCTACCTAGGTGAGTTTTGGAGGAGGGACAAACATCCTCTCCGTGTCTCCTCACTGGCATCATCAACCTCCAGGAGTGCTTACATCAGAAGCACTTTAGTCCCCCTGTGCCGTTTTATGAACATTAGCTGCGACCTCACCAATAAGCAAAACCATGCAAACTCATTATTAGTTTGTCAGTGTTTTCTGATGAAGGAAGTTCTTCTGTCTTGAATTAGTGAGTGATTACTTTCTATTGACCCACAATGGAGGAATTTTCATATAAACAAGCCTCCGTTATCTATCTCAGGCTTCTGAATAATGACAGTTTTCATTATGTTATCAAAAATGAGGAATCACAATACCCCTCCTCATGGGTATGGAGCAGCTTAGGAGGAGTGCTGGGTTGGAAAGACATGTCACCTCACCACCGAGGCTAGGACCTGAATCAGCTTATTTTGGAATGATGGCTTTTGCATCACAGGCTTCTAGAAGCAAGTGTGGTTGTGGCCCATATACATATTCCTGAGCATATTTTCCAGACATGGATTTTGTGATGTCCTTTGGTTTTGGTTTTACTTTACAGCTCTATTAATAAAAATCCTTGTTTCAAACTTATTGTCTTTGACAAATCCTAGCAGCCCTAGTAGGCTACTGTTTAATATAATAGAGTTATTGGTTCCCACTTAAGTAAGAACACTTCAGTTGACTGAAGAAGGAAGAGGGGTTAATATTTTGATAAAGGAGAGACCAAATTATGGGCATAATTTCCTTTTTGTGTGGTTAATTTATCTGTATGTGACCATACTTAACAACATGGATTTTTAAAAATTAATTCTTTGGAAATTTCATACACGTGTATATTATATTTGATCACATCTACCCCTTTCCTTCCCTCAAATCACAAGGCTTCCTTCCCAACAGGTTTCCCTCCCTACTTCATGTTCATTTTTTAAAAATGTGAAACCCACTGGGTTCAATTAGTATTCCATATATTCACATTAATGTGGGGTCATCCATTGGGTCAACCTACCGGTAGCTACCCCCCAAAATGACTTTCCCTCCCCCAGTAGCTATCAGATGTCAATAGCTCCTCGGTTGGGGTGGGGGTGCCAGGGGGTGCTTATAAGCTCCTTCCACTTCATGTCGAGATTTTTACCTCATTTAATCTTGGACAGGTCTTGAGAAGGTACCCACAGCTGCTGTGAATTCACAGTGCTGCAGCCATGGCATCTCCAGAGGACAGTTTTTCCCAGCACCCTGTCCCTCATCCTCCAGCTCTTTGAATCTTTCTGTCATCTCTCCCGTGATGTTCCGTCAGCATTTGTGGAGGAGGGTTGCTATCACATCCCATTGGCTAAGCACTCACAATTGCTTATGTTCAGCACTTCCAACTAATGTATCTCCATATTAACCATTATCCACTCTAAAAAAAAAAAGGTCTCTGATCAAGGTTTGGAGGAGTACAAAAACAAGTATTTTGAAAGTAGTTTGATCACCTAGCAAAACAATATCAATACATCCTCGTCTTGAGGCTATGACATCCCTAGTTATGGACCATGTTGACAGTAGCAGATATGAATTTCCTCCTGTGGTGCAGGCCTCAAATCCAACCAAGAGAGTGGTTGGTTATCCTATACCCTACTTTGTCTCTATTGTATCAATGAGCACATCTTGCCTAAAAGGTTGTAACCGTTTGCAGCAGGCAGGATCCGGTGTTAGGTAATGGATGTCTTTTCTCTCCCAGCAGCCTACATTGCTCTTTCCAGGACTGAGAGCTAGCCAGTGGGGAGAGCTTCCTAGCCAATTCAAGATTGATTTTTCTATGCTCTGCATCCAAAGCATGTGGTTTCTTCTGCAATGGGGTTTTCCTATCCAGTTATGGTGGACTTCTAAGAGCAGTGCAATAACCTGTATTATGTGGATTGCTTTGGGGCCTCCCTGACCAATAAGCCATGGGGAGGTGATTCTCAACATGAGTGTTTTTTCCTTGTATTTTCTCCATTTACTGTTGAGTGTAAGATACTTGCTTTCAGGTGGAAGAAGGAGGTTTAGAAAGGCCCATCAATTTACTCTGGTTTAACTATTAAAGAGGACTACACTCAGGAATTATGACACGCCTATATTCTTTGGAATAGTCTATAGTAAGAAATAGGTATCTGTTGATGGGATCTTTATTTTTAATGTGTAAATCAAATCAAAGCCTGCGCTTGCTAAACAAGCACTACACCACTGAGCTCTGTCTTCAGCCTTGTGTGACTCAGATACCATATACCTCACCCCGTGTTACTCATTTGTATTACCTTAATGTACTTCCTGGAGTACTAAATATGAACCCCAAGAGAAATTTTAACTCAAACAAACCTAATGATAAATTGGAAAATGTTTAAGTGCCATTCTTGCTGTACTAAGTGCTAGTCAAGAATTTATTTACTTATTGCTCTTACTCGTTTACTAAAACCATCCTCTAGAAGATTTATTGTGTAGCTTACAGTAACACTTTCTTTTTCCAACTTTATTTTTCATGCATATCTGTTTTTTATAATTGTGTTGTGAAAGTTTTCAGGCCATGTTGGCATCTGGGAGAAATGAGTTTGTCTCTTGGTTCTGCCATCATGAATTCTGGTGGAGAGGAAGTGTGGAATGCTTGAAGTGATTAAATTTTCTGGGCCATCTGGTCATCAAGAAAAGACTGTGTTTTCAATTTCACAGTGAATAAGAAGTTATTAAGGAAAGAGAATATTTAGTTTAAGGAAGAAAGAAATCATACTTTACGCCTACCTCTAAATGCTTCCTCCTGCTTTAACTGTGGACAGAAGGGCAAGCTAGGAGGAGCAGCCTTAGGTGGAGCTACATGGTGGTGCTGTCCGTGCCTCAAAGGAAAGCGTGGAGGCCATGGTCTCTGATAGATGGACAAAGTGTAAGGGGCAGCCACTCGCAAAGCAATCATTCCTAATGGTCTCCTTTCTCCCCAAACAATTCTTATGGAAGGAAAGTGAATCACAGGGGTGAATTTTTCTCATGCCACAAAGGAAGTTAGAGCACCTGGCTCCTTCAAGTGTGCTGCCAGGGCCTCTGATGCATGCATCAGTTGGGGAGTGATGAGTCACATGCAATTGGTGAGCATCTGTCCACTCCTCTGCTTATCGTACTACTTCATGCTTTAAACATCCAAACAAGGCTTATGTTTTATTTACTACTCCGTAAGTACAGCACCAACTTCAAAAGAGACTTGGAAAATCAACACAGAAAGCACTAAACATTGAAATCGGAAATCTGGTAGAGATGATGGTAGACAAGATTATAAAAAAGAAAAGCGCTTGGAAATGAGCTTGTCTACTGCCTGCTCTTGCATGCCACCATCTCTGCAAGTCCCCCTTGTTCCACCTAACACACACACACACACACACACACACACACACACACACACACACACACACACACACGGAGTTCACACCCTAGGGCGTGCGTGGGATGGGGCCACCCACAACTTCGCGATAGATTTGTAGCCCCGCGGCTATACAGATGTGGTTGACTTCCTTCAAAGTTCACTTAGTTACCAAGCACAGAAAGACTGGTTCTTGACGGTTGCCCTGATAGCCTTTGGAACACTGGAGTGCCTCTCAATGCAAGAATCCTCCTGGGTTTCATTCAAAGCCTCCATAAGGAAAGCAAGGGATAGGGCAGGAGCAGAGGCCAGACAAGAGGACTAGAATGGGGAGTCTTGACAGCCAAGAGTGCAGTCAGTTTCCAGATGAGTGGCTGAAACCAGGCTGGGCTGGGGCTTGACAGAGCTGATCTGGGATGGCGCAAAGGACCGAGTCAGGGAGGGAGGACCTTCATCCAACGTGAAGACATTAGACCATATTCCCAGCTAATAGTGGAGAATTTTAACGGCACTGTCCCTGCCTGCAACATGACTCACATTTCCCTGTCTTCCCAAACCCATCATTCAAGCTGGGGCACAGATCCTCAGCTTGTGGGGCCCCTCCAGATGCAAGAGTACTGTGTCCAGCACAAGCCTCGAGGTTCTCTCATGTCCTCTCTACTGCTCATGTGTACTCTGCACTTGAAATCTGAGCCTTTCCTAAAGCCGGGTGTAATGACCCCCAGCCTTCCTGCTCCCATCCTTCCTTCTGCCTCCTGACTTACTCCCATGTTAACCAGGGTTCTTTGGAGAAGTGGAACTAGCAGGAGGTGTGGATAAAGGCAGATGCTTGCTTTAAGGGGTTAGCTTCTGCAAGTATAGAGAATGGTAAGTCTAGATTCTATGGGTGGGCTGGCAGGCCAGAGACCCAGAAGGACTCCATATTATGGTCCAGGTCTACAGCTATCTGTGAACAGAATTCCTTCTTGCTTGGATGAAAAGCAGTCTCCTCATTAGGTTTTCTAAGAATGGAGTAAGGCCTACATTATGGGTGACAGAGTACTCAGAATCCACAGTTTCCACCCATCTGCCCCCCATGCACAAATATACCTCACTTTGTGTTTGACCGAGTATTTGGTCTCTGTAGCCCATTCATATTGACATAAGAAGATCACCATCACACTGTTTCTTTTCTAGCTGTGACTACCTAGTAACTGGTTTCCTTCCCTTCTTTCTCTCTCACTGTGTAAGCACTGAATCTGCTGTATGTCTGTCAACACTTACGTCACTCCTGGATCTTACATCACTCTTGGATCTTATGTCACTCCTCAGATCTTACATCACTCCTCAGATCTTATGTCACTCCTGGATCTTATGTCACTCCTTAGATCTTACATCACTCCTCAGATCTTACGTCACTCCTCAGATCTTACGTCATTCCTGGGTCTTACGTCACTCCTCAGATCTCACACCACTCTCGGATCTGCCTTTCTGCTGAAGCTGCTTCACACAGAAAACAAAACAAAAAAAAGCCCAAGTGCAACAGTGACACAAGCATGTGGTTTCTGGCCCGTGGGGTTGATGGGAAGGCAGTACATGATTCACAAATCAACCTCCTCTTTCAGACACAGAGAGTTGCATGGATATTCCAGATTCTGGCCTAA